GGGGGGGGGGGGGGGGGTTCATGAGGGCTAGCTAATCAATTAAGGATTTGGAATTTTAGGTGGGGAATGCGTGTGTGCTGGGAGGACTGGAAGGACGGTGGCCTCGTCCTCCTACGCCTGGAACTCGAGGCCGAGGCCGAGCTTGTGGCCGCCGGCGTTGATGTTCTTGCCATCGAGGAGAGCAGAGAGTGTCAGCTTGATGCCTGCGGCGACAAACACACACCAGGTGAATTAGTGTCTTAATAAATAGATACATGTTGAGATATTGTGGTCTTGTGGTGCATGTTTTTGCCCGTTTTAAGCAGAGCGCACTCACCTGGCTTCAGAGTCTGAGTGTAGCCCAGGCCCACCAGGCTGGAGTTGTTCACCTTGGCCTGTGTGAGATGAGAACCGCAGATGAAAATCATACAAAGAACACATATCACTAACAGATGAATGGACCATGCCGATGCGGGGCAATGTATTGCCTTCTCCGGGGTTAAATGTTAACAAAATCTAAACTTTAAAAAAAGTGCTAAAACTATAAACTGTACCACTTCAGAGTGTCACGTTGGCCATGTTATTAACATGTTATTAATAGTAGTTGAAATACGTGTAATTACACTAACAAACTACCATTCACACTAATTGGCTCTGCTGTGAATGGGATTTAAGGACTAATGTGATTGACATCAGCCTGGGCCTTTCTGTAGACTCGATGAGGCTTCTCTTAACTAAATGAGATGTAATCACAACATGGATTTGCATCCATCCTTCCACGTTGGTCATGCAGAGAAGATTGTGAACGGACTGATTGGAGCAACGTGACTAGTTGTGGTGCATATTGTCAAAGCCTCTCTGGTCAACGAAAGGTTAAGAATCTGATGCTGCACTATGAATTCCTTGTAGAAGAAGTTTAAAAATGGACAATTCTGAATAGGGATCAATAAAGGGACATCGTCATCGTACAACACGTGACTATACCACCACTACTACTACTACTACTACTACTACAGGTTACACACTACTCACAGAGAAGGATGCGTCAGGATCAATCTGATACTTGGCAGCGATGCCAAAGCGGGTGTTGCTGTTTCCGGCAGTCCAGGCCAGGTTGACGGCCGTCTCCAGCTGGTCGTTCACCTTCTGGTAGATGGAGCCACCAAACTCGGTGCCATCATTTCTGAGGGAAAAATAGCAGATCAGAATATATGTAAATGCAACGCAAAAGGATTCCCTAGAGGTGATATTTTCTCCCTCAAACGAATAAGTTATAGTTTTGTAAATAAAGAATACCTTAGTTGGTGTTATGCATCTGTGTTAAAGAGCTCCTCAGATGGGCACACGGTCAGTGATGTAAAGGCTACAGTATACTTTGTCTGACCTCACATAACCACATCAGCTGTACACTGAACCAGACAGGCTCGGCCAGGAGCACAGCAGGAAACAGGACAAACTCGGTGCCCCGTCTCTCCGACGCTACCTCACTCTGCCTTTTCACTGAGGCCCTGTCTGTCTGCCAACAACTCACTCACTCACTCAGTCTCACTTGCATTACAGTAAATCCCATCACCTGGGTGTAAAAATAAGTTTGGGTGCCCCGGCACACAGCCAAGTGGGCGACAAGTTAGTCAGCCAGACAAGGACAAGAAAAACCGAAGGCCTCTGTCCAGCCACGGTCAGCCATCTGGAATCAGTAGTTTCACTTACAGCTAAAGCTTTAAGCCCATGACTTAAGTTCAAGTACCGCAGGACAGAAACCCTAACCCAATATCAGAGTGTATAGTTACATAAATAGTTGGCTCAGTTTCAAACTCAAGGTTTAAAGGCACCGTGGTCGTTCGAAAGTGCATTAGAAACGCATTGTGTGTGGTACAATGGAAGGATGCATTTATGACCATCTGCTGCTTTGTGTAGTCTTACACATTCGTATGGAGCTGAAACTCGTCCGTCTTGAATCCAACTGCAAAGTTGCTCTGGGTGATCCGGTTCCTTCCGGCCTCGAAGGTCATCTGGTAGCCGGCCAGCCAGCCCTCGTAGCCCACCACGCCTGCGCCGTGGATGGCTGTACCGTTGATGTCGTAATTGACGTCACAGCCGAGGTTGATGTGGTCGCACTTGTAGCCCGTCTTGACCTTGCCGCTCTTCTTGCTGGCAGGAAAGTCCAGGAGAGAGAAAAGGATGTTAACGTCAGAGGACAAGGTTCCCCAGAGCGAGAAACATCACACAGCTGCGACAAAGAAAAAAAAACTCAAGTAGTGAAGTGTATCAGAGCTACAGACTGCAACCCTTTAGTCACGCATACTTACAGACATTGTTAGAGGCACTTCAACACGCACCGTTACTGATACCGTTAGCATTACAAATTAACTGGCGAGCTAGCTCATGTTAGCTACTCGGCAATTGTGCAAATACTGTAGCTCATGCGTTATTTTTCATCCCAAAGAGTGTTACACTAGTGCCTTCCTACTGTGCTGTGATTGGCTAGTACTTGTTGCCTTGAGTTCGGCTCATTTCCTCTAACAGGTGTGGCATGAAATCATGGCGGAATTAGCAAGCTAGCTAGCTAACTAGCCAGCCACTCACTTTTGTCGCAGTGAAGGAAGGTACATTGCTATCGCCAGATAATCGACCAATCACAGCACAGTAAGGCTGGACTAGGGAGCGAAATAGCTCGGATTTAAACACACCCATGTTACTGTTACTGTATGTTGGCTAAATATTGTTTGTGTGTATTCTAGTTTTGCTGAATTGCCAGTAGAAATGCAGAGTATTTGAAATGGCCACGTAGCTTTTGATGAATTGTTTAAACCCATTTACTGAAGCTCCAATAGCACATGAAGGAAGGCTCGACTTCATTCCACTGAACTCTTGATTTGTCACTGAAATGAACTCAATCTTCCTTTTTCTCATTGAGCTCTTCTTACCCGGTGTTTGGTGAGAAGGAGGAATCGAACGTCAGCTTCAGCCCCTTAGCCAACTGTGGAATAGACAAGCAAGACATAACAGAATTAATAAACTTCAGTTGATGCCACTCAAAGCTGTATTTTGTATCCATACTTCTTTGCCCCCCCCAACAGCGCATCACCAACCTGGTCTTCAATGGTGATCTCGGTCCCCAGGGTGTTGTCGGTGTTCCACTTCTCCGTGAAGGTCAGTCCGTGCTCCGCCCACTTGTACTTGGTCTCCAGGGATCCGGCCACCTTGCTGGTCTCAGTGTTGGCAGAGCCCGTGCTGGTGAACTCCTGCAGATGGTGTTATTAGAGTCAGACTGACAGTTCACACAGCCAGGTACATAACCACGTTAACATCATTGTACTGTTGATGTCTTGCACCGTAATATATAGGGTTGTAGACATTGACGTAGTACTGATCTCACTCTGGAACAGAAACTCTATCCAAACTACTGAGGGAATATTAACAAGGTGAAGAAATCTATTTGACTTTCAGTAAACTTTAAGTGTCCTGGCAATGGTTAGGAGATCAGATAGCCAGACACCTAATGATCAGCCAGGAGCCTCTTAAGCTATGATAGGACAGCTGCAGTCTGGAGCTCTGATACTCTGATAATGACTGCCGACGACTTACCAGTCCATTCTCAGACTTTGTTTTCAAGTCCAGCTTGATGACCCCAAAGCCTGAAACAGACAATATTGAACATGAGTCTTAAGCATGCAAAATCATCTTCTAATTCTGTTAATAGACATTTAAAGAAGCCCTTTAGATATTTCCAAACCCTTCAAATCAAGTCATTGATTAGCGTCAGTGAAATAGCCGTTCATCAGCCTCCAGAGTGCATTTAAAGTTATTTACATGCCACTGACTGAAAGTGGGTATTGATTTGACGTAGATTCTGCAAGCGCATTAGTGCCGTCGGTTATGAATAGTAGCTAGAAGGCTGGTTATACAGATCCTGGCCTTACCCAGCATAACAGCCATCAGTTGATTTAACCAACCGCACTTCACACGACCCAGAGATCGCATGTTCATGTACTGTCTGGCCTCGTACATATCCAGCTTCCCCCTCACTAAATCCTCAACTAATTCACTGTCCATCCTCATGCAAAGCCGAGACTTGTTCTGTGAAGGTGATGGACTCAATTTGTTCCATGTGAGCACCGCAAGCCTGCAGTGAAACTCACAGGGATGAATTACTGTCACTGCCCAAGCTTGCGGTGAATCAACAACCCGGGAGTTCCCGAGATATTAACTGCACGTCAGTCAGTCACCCTTGGAGCACAGCTGTGTGTAATGTACGCACAAAACACGCCCACATCCTCTAACTCCTCTCCATGTTAGCTATCAACAGAGCAGTAACTGGTTTGAGTCGTTTGGGCATTGGGCCCGAGAAGAAGTGTTGCATCGAATCTTGCAAGAAATCTCCTTGATTACTTCACAGCACAATACAGGAAGAAATACTGTTCTTCTAGTGTAAAGAGTTTTGTGGAAATAAAACTAGCAACAAGTTTGACCATTGCTTATCTGCTTTCCAGAAAACTTTAAATGTAGAAGCGATAAAAAGCCTCCCATTTTATATGTTTTAATTATTTACAGATTAGCACTAACAAGGTAACACAGTACGCCACTACACTACAGGCTACCAATGGTCTCCATATCCTTCATGGAGCTTCATAGTGTTTTACCATGATTTTGCAATCTGACAATAATAATGTTTCAAAACTCGAAAACTTTCACGTCACAGGTAGTAGTACTGTACAAACTGGGAAAATAGTATATAATATATAATGACTCTGGAGGAGCTTTGTCAAGTCTTTAAAGCACACGAGTACAGACTATATATGCTGCTCGCTGTGTTAAAAAGTGGCTTCAACTTAGAATTTGATACATAGATTAAACTCTATTAAAGTATGTAAAAAGCTGAAGTATTTTATAATGCATTAAATATATAGAGAATGGCCACTTTCTGCTCTCCTGTTAAATGTGTGAATCTCAGAATCATCTTCATACGATCGTTATTATCGTAGGCCTCACATCATAGCAGTATTCTATTGTGATTGAACCCCTTCTCCCTCCATACGATACTGCTGTACAAGTCGGTGAAATAAGCGAGTGCGGTTGGCTGCGCGGTGCTCACCGTATCCTTTGGTAAAAACATCCCGGGCAGACTTTCCAAGGTCAATGTAGGTGGGAGGTACGGCCATGATCTGCAAAGAGAAGCAGGAACGATCAAGGCTGTGACTGAACACATGGCAGAGAACTAAACAACACAACAGTCTCTGGCCGTCCTCCCGCTGTGTTACACCTTAAAGACAGACAGAAAACCAGTCACAGCGGAGGGGAAAGACACAGTAAGCAAACTGACAGATCAGATGTGAAGTGCTGCTGAAAGAGGAAGGCGGGCCGCTGGAGAGACTGGAGGTCAATGATGGATATGAAAAGGTATAAGTCTGATGAAGTTATTGGCTTACTTACACACACACACACATGTCAGCATAGAGGCCAGCTTGTACGCAGGTGTCACATTTTGGCGTAAGTTGTTAATGTAATTTAACATATTTAGACATTGTTTCAAAGTGGAAAAAGCCAAGTTCAGAAAGGACAATGGGAGCCACAGACGGAAGCACAAAGCGAACTGTTTGCTCACCCTCTGGACTGACGCTCATGTACAGTGTGTGTGAACCTCTTTGTCCTCATTTAATTTCCCTGACCAGCCTGTTGTGAGCTACACCAATGAGCTAAGGCGTGTTCTACCTCAAAGTGTCACTCTGCAACAGCTCCACCCTTTGTGCTCCAGTTGTGACATGTCGAACACATCTACTGCATTGCATCATTGTGCACGTTTGGGCCCCAGATGTTTCTCTGCACCCACTATGTCCTCCTCAAAATGTAGGCCTCCTAAAAAAAGCCAGTGCAACATCAGCTCTGACACAACGCATGAGGTCCAGGTCCAGGTCCCCCCCCCCTGAATCTGGTCCTCAGGGACAGGAAGTGGACTAATGCCAACACACCCCACTTATGGCTTTCACACATGGCTCCATGCAGAAATGTCAGAGCCTGTAGAGGACGTTGGACTAGGACATCACCTGTATATACGACAGCCTGCAAAGTCTCGTTACTGAGGTGTACTGGGCCAAAACCTTAATGACTCTAGGTTGAAGAAATCTGTCTTTAAGCAGCAATCACACATAACTTTACAAAAGAAAAGAGGGCACAAATCACATAGCATGAGGCTAGCATTTAAGTTTGACACATCTCTGCCCTTCAGCACCACTTTAGCTGTAACGTTAGTCTTGTTTGTGAAAATAAAAAACTATTCTCTCTCTCTAAATTAGAGTGAATTACAGCAGCGAGCACTTGACTCGGACAAAGAGGTTATAAGAGGCAGCCTCTCCCTGCCCTCGCCTGTGCTAACAGATTAGCACTAGCTAGCTATCAAGGTGGACAGGGGACAAGCTAGCAGCAGGCCTAGCATCGCTCGCTCTCTCTGCACGCAGAGCTGCATCCGACTCCTGGTAGAAACATATGGTATCGCCGGCTGATAGCAGTGACAGTGCAGTAAACACATAACTTCAGCTGTGTTGCGTTTCAATATTAAGACACACAACGTTACCTCTGTGTGTTCCTGTCCTGGTCGAGAAGGGGCTTGTCAAACCGCACAAAGGGAGGAGGAGGGAGGTGGTGCGGCGTGACGTAAGTTACGTTACGTGACGTTACGTGACGTTACAAGTCACGCTAGCAGCCCAGGAGGCCGCCTGTCATCGTCAAAGATACAACATTCGATTCAAACAGCAAGATGGTTCACACCACATTTCAGCATTTCAGTACTATTCCTATTTATTCCTAATAATTATTCTTGTGTTACACTGATTTAGTATTATAAATTAACTGTTGTTGTTTGTTTGTTTGCACGCCACGTTTAAAGAAGTCTTCAATGTACTCACAATCCATTTATATGTCAAATGTAGGGTAACCTATGAAGAGCTGCTCCTCATCATTTCGACTTTCTATAGCAACTGGAAACATTTGGTCAGTGTTATGGTTACAGATAGATGCACCAAAAGTTTTTTTGTTTTTTCATGCTGGTGGAAAAAAAGTGAAAAACAAATCAGAATAATAATAATTAGAATTATTTTTCTTTTCTTTTTTGTGACCTTTTCCATATGAAAATGATAATCCAATATTAGAATAAATAAAACGAGTCATTCTGCATTGTGAGTACTTTTACTTTTGATACCTTAATTCCATTTTATTCATAGGGTACACCTTCTATAGTCTACTTTCTACGTTAAATCTTGAATTCAAGGCGTTTATTGGCACCAGAATATTTATATAACTAATATAACTAATAATTTGCTAAGCACTACTACACAGGTTCAGGTGTGTTTACAATTCATGATGTCTTAACAGAAGCAAAGCTAAATATATAAATAGCAGGCTACAGGTCCAGAAACAAATACTCAAATTATTTATCAGTTAAACGAGAATAATGAAAATAGGTAGAATAATACATTTCTCCCCTTCATCCTCTACCATGTGACACCCGAAAACGGAAATAGTGAAAAGGGAACTATCTCGCTTTTTACATAATTCTCTCTGGTGTCCGACTTGCACCTTCGCACAGGCGCAGTTTACTCCAGGCGGCACGCAACTCCTCCTACAGCATCCCTGGGATAAAAAGAAGTCCCATTAACAGCTGACTGGAGATCAGGTTCCTGCACCTTCATCGCAAACCTCACCGCTGCCGTGTGGGTTTATAAACTGTCCCGGAACAGAGGAGCTGAATCAGCAGCTGTAATGTTACATCACATCTGTACAGGACAGGAGGACAGGATGAGGTCATATTGACCTCTGCTGTCACGATGAATTTCATTCACAACCTGCGACTGCTGCGATGCTTTTTCAACTAGTTTTCACTCACTTGTTGTGTGGTTTGCAGTCACTATGTAAGGTAGCCATTTAACACCAGGTGATGCTTTATTTTCTTTTACTTATTTCTGAAAACATCAAGATGAATTTCAGAGAAAAACTAATCTGATGTGATCTCATGGACCCACTTCCATGTGTTTATTATAGATAGATAGATAGATAGATAGATAGATAGATAGATAGATATAGTTACTTTATTAATCCCACAAGTTGTTTTTTTAAAAGCGATACACATAACAGAGTAAAAAATATTAAATATAAAAATGTACAACAATGAAATAGAATAATATAGAAAATATAACCTGATTTCTGTGGTGGAAAGTACATTTACTTAAGTGGGCTACTGTTGTTCACTTAAATACAGTTTTTCACTTTCCTGCTTTCAGAGGCATATAATGTACTTCTTTACTCCACTACATTTACTTATATATCTACTGGTGAATTTCCAGGCTCATAGTTTAAAGTGTAGGTATTCTGTTTATATAATGGGATGCTATTGTTACATATTAAACCCAACAGTAGCCTAGAAAGTAGAGTTTATAAAATAGTTTCACCTCCACATATATACTGTATATATATAAAACAATGTTATGTGCACAACTCCTTATAGAGGTGAAACTATTTTATATATATGTATATATAATATTTTTTTTAGATAATACTGGGGTTTTTAACGCTTTATTCATTTTAAGAGATCATGGAATTAAAGAAAAAGAAAAATGAACATTCAATCATTCTTTATATCCGAAAAGCTCAAAAAGACAACATTTTGAGATACACTGTTTTCACAGCAATAAAATATGTTTAAAATGTATACCAATGAAACAATCTTAAAGTAAATTTTCTTGATAATACGCATGTACTTATACATATTTTTACACCACAATCTGATTTATATTTATGTATGCAAAAAGGGGAACGTAACAATGATATTGATCTTACAACTGCACTAAGATAAATATTTCCACTGATAGAGTTTTGCAGAACATGACCTAAACACCAGATCCAAATATTTCCAGCAGAATGACATTTGAATAAATGTCTTACTTTATGATGGATGCAGTTTATTTTACATTACTCTCAGATTCTTACTAACATATCAGACTGAACAGGCAGGTGTGCGTAGATATTCACGAGTAAAGTAGTTGGTGAAACAGCGTTGACTCGCTACCCTCCTCCTGGCTGTGAAATGCAGAGAGATGGTCTATGAGACGTTCTGCACTTTAACTTTGTGTGCAGCATTTCGCAGAAACTCAGCAGTGTGGTTGCATGAAGGGAACGCTGCCAAAAGCTTCAGGCGCTTCCTTTACAACTGGCAGCAAGAAGCTAACTCTGAGAACCTGCACCTCTTTCACCCATTAATCATTTCTTTCTTTGCTTCTTATTCCATGTACACTCATATGTCTGTTTGCTACTATATAGTCAGAGCTGTAGATAGACAGTAATATATAAGTAATCACACGTGTCAGTTTGACGGTAAATAAAACCTTTGCAACATCCTTTCTGTCCTCTGAAAGAAGTAAACAAAGAGGAGATCCTGCAGTGACTGAGCTGCTGCTTGTATTCAAAAACAAATAAACTTCGGAGTGAGTGGGATGAGAATGAGTGAAGCAGTGAAGTCAACATGTGATTAGTTTTAGCCAGTAGATGTCAGTGTTGGTAAATGTGAACACAAACTCCCTCGTGTCAGTGCATGTGTGTTTTCGGAGAAATTAATGCATTGTGTCTCAGCAGCAGAGACTCACATTTAAATTCAATCCCTCATCCACAGTGAACTGTTACAGCAACATTAAACATGTCATCCTTTAACTTTTCCTCTCTTTTTCTAGATCTTGAGAACCTTTTAACAAAGAAGTGAATCCCAACAGCATTTTGACGGTGTCATGTGAAGACCTTGTATCTCCAAACACACCAACTGTTCACGAGCAAAGAAAAACAGCACAGTTTTATGCTTTTCATCAGATAATCGAATAGTTCTTTTTATGCTTTATTCATCTTAAGAAATGTGAGAATTAAAGAAAAATTAAAATTAAAATTTAATCATTCACTCTGTCGGAAAATCTCAAAATGACCAAATTTGGAGATACCCTTTTTTTCCCTGCAAGAAAACATGATTAAAATTTATATGAATACTACAATCTGATTTGCTTTTATTTTATTCTCAAAATGTACTCAAGCTGTGCACACATAACAGTCTTTTCCCTTCTATTATACACAGTATATAGGTATATATATATCATCATTAACTCATTTTCCCAACATGCTGAGCTCACTGCAAAGTTTTTGTGAAGTATCTTTATGGTTTTTTGCTTTACTGTGTGTAAAGTGTTTCCAATTGATCTTGTTTAAGACTCGACTGCGAGCATCATATTCTGCTCAACATTAGTCAAAGAGCCTGAGTTCACGTGATTCTTTATGGAAAAGGATTAACATGCAAAACATTAAGTTCATAAGATTAACTTGGAGAGAAAAGTCAAAGCCAAACATATTTTTTTCTCTTGCTGGGAGGATTTTTATATTGAACATGTCATTTTTTTTAAGTACATTGAATATTAAATACGGATTAGTGCATTTCTGCTGTCTCTAAACTATTGACTTTTCTTAGTTACGTTTACCTTCGACAACAAGCTGCAGCAGATCTGCTTCTTAAGAGCTTTAAAAACAACTTTGAGTGTGTTACTTCTTCAAACAGTGCCGGCTGGCTTCATTTCAAACTTTTTCTTATTGGACTGCAGCTTTTTTATTTTTTTTACATTTTGATGCAATATTGTTTTGGAGAATTTAATGTTTTCAAGACACGCTGAAGGCAGCCATGATGGGAAGCGGTGATTAATTACATTAATTATCATCCCAACTGTAAACAGCACGGCTCATAAATAAAATGAGCTGTCTCATGACGGAGGAGAAGAGATGGCTCGTTCTCCACTCCTCCACCAACATCTTGTTGTCATTAAACAAACATATTTAACTTATTTCCTGGTGTGTATTTAGAAGTTTCCATCTCTGTTTTATATCCCTGCATCGCTGAATCTCAAGTAACATTTCATCAACAACTAGTAACATGTTTGTCGCCCGTCGGTCGCCTTCAGAGGCGAGCCAAAATTCATTTCTAGATTATCCTCCAGTCATATCTGGATGCTCCTGCTTTCATCCCCCAAGCTTCAAAGCCGACGCGGCACGCTCACTTCAAACAGCCGTCGCTGAGTGCCAATCAAACCCCGCTCCAGAAGACAACAAACACGACAGAAAATGTTAATCAACCCGGGCCGAGCATCACCAAAGTAAATAAGATAAATTGTAAACAGATGCCATAATATGCAGCATATGGATAAATAAGGCAGTATGTCATCTTTCTTTTTCTTTTTCTTTTTTTATTCAGCGGTTCACACAGGGTCCAAGCTCCTCTACCTCTCCTTCCATCCATCCATCCCAAACCCATCTCTATGAGTCAGTGGCTTCACTGCATGCTTTTTCCAGCCCAGAGTGGAAGTCCATAACCCGGCTGGTCAGCGGCATAAATCACTTGACACTCCTGCGTTCAAACAGTCCGAAACCAGTAACCTTTTTACCTTCGTCTCCGCGGGATCAAATGCAACATTCAGCATGTTTTTAGAAGGGTTTTCTTTTTTTGCAGAAGGTTTAATGGTCCGAAGTTTCCACTCCCTCAAATTTGGAAGGGACTTCTGCTGCCATGAAATGGAACGGTGAAAGAGGGATGACAGGTCCAATAGGATCAAATAAAATCACTCATTCGGTCGTTGGGCACAGT